AACGCGCGTACCGCCCGGAAAGGATCGAGATTCATCGTCCCGAGAGCCTGCCGATTATTCTCGTATTTCGCTGGCGAACCGGGAATAGAATCATCGAGAACGAATGAATCTTTGCTATCGTGACCGCGATAGCAAAGATGTAACACCGTTTCCAGAATTTAATGGAGCCGGGAATCTTGGATAATTGAACACTTATCGGCAAGATCGGAGATGGAATAGAATGGCCGGCTTACGGAGCGAATAAAATATGCGCGCGGACGTTTCCCCGCGATCGATCGTTGCCTATGACCCCTCGTAATTTCTGTCCGCGTCAAAGAAACTATAATTTCCAACGCTCCGTACCCCGTAACGACGACGGTTTAACGTCGAAGGGATTCCCTCGGCGCATCGCGCCCAAACAACGTGAAACCGGATCGAGGTTTACTTTATTCATCCGCGGTTCGCGTACAGAGAGAATAGCGAGGTAGACGTTACATAGAAGGTTACTCGATGCTTCCACGAGCCAGAGTCGCGGTGCACGCGATATCGTCTGGATCTGGTAAAGGAATAATAAAAAGAGAAGGACAGGAGGCGCGCGGAGAGGAGAAAAAATAAAAAGCAGATATTCATTGTGCGACGATATTAAAAGCAACGAGCTCCGGGCGCACGCGCGCAACCGACGACGGCATTTAAAAAAAACCAACGACAAAGCACGCGCCTCGGCGTCACCCCTCTACGCATCGCCTTTTAAATCCGACACCCTTGAGCGCGGATTTTAAGCAAACAAACACCTATCGAATGTATCACGGATAAACGAAGGGCGAACGGTCTGAGCGAAAAGCAAAGAGGACGGAGCAAAAAAAACCATAAAGTGCTCGCACACGGAGAGGCCGGCGAATAAGGAAGAGAGGCAAGAAGAGAGGGTAGTCGGGGGCCGCGCGGTACAAGGGTAGTTTACTACGAGCGTGTTAATTAAACAAAAAGCCACCCCCGTATACCAAGCTAATTAGAGTGGCTCTCTTACCAGCCCCGCGCGCGTTCTTCGCTTCAAAAAATATTTTCCTCCTGCTTCTTCGAGCGAGAGCAATCATTTTCCTTTAATTTCCGTACATTTTTTTTACTTTGAGTTTCCCTCCTCGATGCGGTCGAAAGCTCATCGTTCGCGACCAGACAGACGTCTGCGCGGGATCATTATACCGCGACAAACGTCTAGGATTATTTTTCGTGGCGCATTTTCTTTTCTTTTCGAACCGACTGCTTCCAGACGACCAGGATCAATTGCTTGTTCGACGTTTTGGATGCTAGCGCGACACGTAGGTGCACGGTAACGAAGCGAGAAGATTAAACGGTTCGTCCATCGGGGCGCGTTTTGTTCGATTCGAGCGAGCCGGTCTCACGCAGTGGCAGATTTACGGTGAAAACGGGCCAACCGCGATTAGGATTCGCTAACGCAGCCGCGAACAAACACTGTGGTCGGAACGATGGTGGACAGAAGGGTGAACAGAGGCGGGCGGAATGAGCAACAGGGACGGATAGCAGGTCGGTAACGAACGGCAAGGGACGGAAGAGAGAGGATAAAGGACCAAGGGAACCGGTACAGGGTTGAATGGAGAGAGAAACATCTGCGATCGGATTAGCGGTGAACAGTGGCGACACTTCCGGGTGATTAGGCTGATTCCACATCCACTCTAAGCCCGCGCTTACAACGCTGCAGTTCGATGGACTACCAAAGCTCCAAACCATATAATACGCATTACTGCTTGCTTCTGTTTTCCGTCTGTGTTCCTTGGAAAATTTCCTGATCGTCGTGCCCTTTCTTGCCACCACCGACAGCGGTGGAACGTTTTCCGCCCTTTCCATCCCCAACAAACGAAACGTAAAACGATGGAAGCGTCGCGCGACGTTAATTCTCGTACCAACGTAACCGGCAAGCCGATCATCCGTTTCTGTCGGAATTTATTCAAAACGGGCGATAAATCGTCGACACGAACTATCCTCCCGCTGGCCCGGACAAATTCAATTTCTCGCAAACTTTCACGCAGTCGACGCGAGCTGGACAATTGGCTTCTGGGAAAGAAGACACGCGAGCGTGTATCCCGGACGAGAATAGCTGCACGCTCGCTGGATATTCGAGGAAAACACCGAAAGTTCCTGGCTGTTTAGAGGCGAGACGTCTGGATCTCTAGCATTCTTTACCGTTTCGCCTATTCCACTGGTTCGGTCATAGACGCGACGCTATTTCAGACCGACTTGCCTTTCTCGGTTCTTCTATTTCGTTACGTGAAAAGTGTCTATTCTCTTTTCGCCCCCCCGAGCCGTGAAATGGATACACCGTACAGACGGCACGAAATTATTGTATAAAGTGTCTCGATAAATTTTTAACCGTAGAACGTCGAACCGGGGCACGCCACACTCTGCGAGCTTTCCCTTGGCTGTAATTTTTAGCCAAGCGAATATTTTTTAAATTCCCTTTTACTTCGGATAAAACAAACAAATATTTAAAAACAGCCATTGCTTAAGGTCGAAATAAAAACAAATCGCAATTCGTGATTTTAACGGGCGCGGGGATAAAAATGCATTTGCGATGGTAGTTTTCGCGCGAATCGATGGAACCTGGTAACTTTGAGGTTCTGTATTTTTTCGATAGTTACGCGATGGAAAGAAAAACTACAAATCGATAATATAATTAACATTGCGAGTAATTATACCTGCTCGTTATTCGCAACACTTGTGCAAAATAATTGAAAGGGAGTATCGAAAACCTTTCGTTGTTCGACGATTTATCGGATAAAACGTACTTATCAACGTTGGGCCGTACCATTTAAATCATTAAATTGTTTCAAGTACGTAAAGGATGAAGCAAACTTAATAGAGCAATCAGACGATTCGCAATTAATTAAACAAATTGACTAGCAGTCGAGTATTCGCAAACTAATTACACCGACTACCGAACACGTGTTCTCATAACTGCATTACGATATAGACCACGCAACACGCTAATCAGTTTTCAAACGGGTCAACGAACGATTCGGACGAATATGTATAGATGGGAGGGGGAACCATTCATTAAAAATAGAAAACACTATTACCACTAAGAATATTTCTAAAAACGTTCTCCCCTCTCTACGGCCATTCGTTTTTCCGTAATTTACATCTTACTCCGAACGTTAATTCGCGTAGGAACAATCAACGGCGAAATTTACTGTTTACGTAGCTTTGTTCACCGGTAGCGTTGCGTATTATTATCATCGTTATTCCGCTCACGGTACGATAAAGTAGATGCGAATGTTTTGAAAGCATGCAGTAACGGCTCGCTGTCGGAAAACTCTCCGAGTGAACCTATATATAATGCAAAGCCTTCGAGCGAGTAATTTTCAACGTGTCCCGTCATTCTGTCCCGCAGCGTATTTCGGTAGCGGGTTTACCTTCCGGTTCTCCTTCTTGGCCGTGTTCGCATCCCCCCCTTACGCTCGGGATCTCTTGTTCGTTCCTGGTTGCCGCGACGAGCCCCTCCCTGGACCGGTTGATAGCGATTCTCGTGCCAAGAGCTACTCTCGGCCGGGCCAAACGCAACTTGGCCCGGGCACAATCGAGTGAAAGTCGACAGGGGGTGGAAACGCTCGACTCGAGTCGAGTGAAAGTCGACGGGGAAGAAAATACGGATAAAACGTAGGGACGCGAAGGTTGGTGGCCGCGGGACCGCGTAGAGCCGGGGAAGCTGGAAATTACGGTGACCGAGCGGGGGACCGACTCTGGCCAGGGATGAAAGTTGCCACGCGGCGTTCGGGTCGGGTTACGAGGTAAATGTTTGCGCGGCAGGTGGGCCGAGTTACGAGAACGGGATAACTGCAGGGCATCAATACGACCGTCGCTCGTCACCAGCCGACTCGACGTTTCCTCTTTTCTTTCCGCGCCAGGCCGCGTCGGTTCCGCGAACAATGCCCGACGCTCGTCGGATGTTCGCGGCATTCGAGCGCCCTGGTACGTCTCTGCCAATTAGCGAAAAGATTGAACTCGTAATAACGACGCGTCGCGTAACTACCGCCGAGTGCAATCCTTTAATAATACCTGCGACCGCTATTCAATTTCCCTGTGAATCGAAACAATTATTATTGTCCGGCGACGCCGCGCCACGCCGCGCCGCGCCGCGCCACGCCGAACGGGACGCGACCGTCCACCCATTGTCCCCGTGACCGTAGACATTTCCATAACGATTAATACGACGGCCATCGTTGCGCCGATTCTCGTCGTTATCGCGATTCAGAAAACGTAACCGGTTCTAATTTCCAATCGTAAGTTCGTTGATGTTGGCCAAGTGGCCGGAACATTCTCGTCGAGCGAATTTCATTTCCAACGGAACCGAAAAAGAGAAACGCCACGCGCGAGCCCGCTAATCGCTTTCGGAGGTAATTGTATCATTCCGCTAATAATTGGCGCGCGGTAGCACCGTCGATCGGAAATGTAATTGCATCGTCGATAACGCGCGTCTCTTTGTTTGGTTTCGCGCCCCCGTAAACGTCGAATCGCGCGACTTCGACGGGAAAATTTGCACGGTGAATCGCTCGTTTGCGAGACCTCCTTCCCGGCCCTTTTTCGCCCCCTCCCGCTTTAATCGACATAAATTCTAGTTACTTTCACCGGTGATATATTCCGCCGGGTATTCCCAGATTTCATTCTCCGCGTTTCGCCGGCACCCGCTGGTTATGTTAGGAAACGTTAACTACAAATTTGATATTCGCCGGGATATTGCCGCGGTAATACGAATGAGCCAAGGGAAATTTATGCCGTTGGTTTTCTTTAGTGGCTTCATTGCCCACCGACGCCGTCAACAACTGCAGCTTCCGGGAACGTTATTTTCTGATACTCGCGAATCTAGAATTTCAATATTATCCCATCGGGACTTTGGAATCGGTGTTGTATTAAAACGGTACCGCCGGTCTTCGACCGTGTTAGATAGAATACAAGCCAGAACTTGAGGAAGCTTTCTGGAAAGTGTTTTATTCTTTCCTTTTGCTTTTCAGGCCGGCAACAGTTACAAATCGCCCGAGGAGTCGCCGCATTCGGAACACAGCAGATTGAGGTGAGCTACAGCTTTTCTCCCTACGCTTGTTCGAGTTTACTTGGAATTGATGACGCATTAAACGTCCCCAGCCACGGAATCATCGAATAAATCACGTTAGGGCTTTTACTTTGACCGCGGTAATATCAACCCTCTGATTTCAAAACAAAAGTCAGGTTTCATTATTCGTATCTTATTCTTCATTAGCGGAGTAGAATTTAAGAACCGCCCCTCGTATTTCCTCGTTTAAAAATTCTAAAGAACAGAGATTCATCCCAACGATGAAGAACAATTGGAATTATGCTGGTTCTTTCCTGGTTCTGCACCTTGCGGGTGCGCGCAAGTTTTGCACCAGGCAGCAAGGCGGCGTTTCATTCTGCTTTTCGATCGAGAAACAAATAGAAGAACGCAAGAAATGAACGTAGAAAGCACGGGGGATGTTGTTTAAAGTCGAAAATTCAACCAGAGAGGAAGTCTCGCAGAGACGAACGATAGGAAAAAAATATCATTGCTTCCACATTTCACGCGAATAGTGGAAGGATTTGGACCAAGTAAGGAAATTTTATCCACTATTCGTTCGATATCGGTTCTTCCTGATAGCCGAGTATATTTTCGTCTCTATAACCGTGATATCCATTCCCGGAGTCACTTTCAAAATCTAATACCAGGTATATCATTTTCCAGTATCGTTGATTCGACGTTGCCATAAATCACTTGCCCCGTATAAATGTTAACTTGAAATCGAGTTTTGGCGGTTAGTTGCTCGTCGATCGGGCAGTACATATAGTTTTAAAAGGGAATCGCGAGTTTCGTGTCGACGGCGATGTAACCGCGGCGAAAGGGCGAGTAGACAGGAACGATTATCTTTCATTACACCTGCGATTCCCAGGTGCAATGTGTTCCAATTAATCGCAACGACCGGGGGGTTAAAGTCAGCGCGCAACGGGGACGAGGCGGGACGGGAAGCTGGTCAGGCGTGGCACGAGACGCCGGAAGTTACGGGTCCCGGACGTCATGGATTCGAACGGAATTCGCTAAAAGTGATACGTGCCCGCGATACGCGTATAGAATTTCGGCGTCGAGTTTCGGTGGTCGATAATAATTTCTCGGTTGAAATGGCTCGTCACGTGCGGTCGCGTGTAAAAGTTGCTTCCGAAAGGATAAGAGAAAATTATTCCGAAGCTGGAAAGTAATGGGGAAAAAGCCTCCGCGTACGATACTCGCTGACTGAACGTAATTTTTCGGTAGAAAGGAATAACATATACACCTTCTGTTTTTACGCTATCGAGATAAAAATAATTGTTAAAAGAATTCTATGTGTACGTTGCGATAGCAATGTGCACGATGTTAGATGGTAGAATGCCAGAGGGAATCTACATTTACACGAGCTTGTTTCATTATTCCGGGGCTCTGAAATTTATACTCCGCAGACTGATATTCTACTTGAAACTTGTTAAGTAGAACCGCGGATAGTCAAGCCACTTGTTATCCACATTTACAAGGTCTGTTAGACGTCGGATAATGTACATCAATAGATTTCTTGCTTTATATTAAAATACACATATTTGTCTATAGAATTATAAATAATTTTCTACCATAACGTTCGAATACTTTCGCCACCGACTCTATCATAATTGGATGTCCGTAACGTCCGCATTGAATTTTTTAATGCCGTTTCGAGGGCCAGCGGGTGTCATCGAAATGCGCCGTATTGCGGCAATAATAGTTTGAGTTTGAGAAGGGACGAGGGTCAAACACACACGAGGTAAAACATCGCGGTGCAACGGGCACGTTGTCTCGCCTCCTCTCTCGTCTATTACGTCGTCGTCCGCGTGATAAATGGCCCGACTGAAAAAAAATATAACGGAACCGTGCAATTCTTTCTCTCGCGAGCGCTTCTTCCTCGGCGACCTATAATTTTTCGTGGCCTCTCGAAAATAAATATTGCGATCTGTCACTATTATCCGTACGCGGGAACGTTCTCCTTCGACTCGTTAATATTCCCGCGACCCCATCGAGCTAACCCTATTAACTTCGTACGTGCTAAAGCGTGCTCCGTGGACGAACGAAACGCGAAAATTCAGAATCAAATGCACGCGACGTCTGACGAAGAGTAATCGCTGTCCATCGTCGTTCTAATCGAAAGAGATTTTTCGCTATCGCGTTCGTCGGCCACCGTGTTTGTCGACGTTCAAATTTTATCTTCTCTATTTATATTTCCTGATAATAGTATTTCCAACATCTTCGTGTGCCTCGCTTTGGCTGCAAAGCGATACGGCGATATCGATGGGCTATGTGATTTAATAAAATTGATATTTCTATGTTTGCTTAATGATAAAACTACGTAGAGCAAATATTTGAATATTTATAAAATGTTCCATTTAAAAATATCGAATGAAAAAGCAGTTAAAGAGCTCCCGCCGGGTCGAAACTATTGCAACGGTTTCCGCATGAAACGGGCGGCTATTAAAGCGTTAAAGAATCCGTTGTTCGCGGTTTTTGCGGATCTCTCTGTGTTTCCAGACATTTTTCGTCGAGCAATTTTCAAGTTTTGGCCGTAAAGAATAGACTATAGAGTCGCAGATGGAGTTCGAAGCTTCGAAGAACGTATAACCCATTCCGGAGTTGGGTTAAACGAAGAGATTTTCTTTTCGAAGGGTTCGTTTGGAGGAAGTTAGCAAATGACTGGCGGCAGACACGCGGTGCTAAATGACTGGCAGGCACTAGGCACTCTATCTTCGTGTACAGACACGTCGCGAAACGAGCCGGAATTCCTCGTAGGATACTGCATTCGAAACGCTTAAGCGCTCGTATGCTATATCTGACAAGCGATTAATTATGAACGCGCGATTAGGCCTAGGATTCGGGGCTTTTCGTCGAACGTTCTGCGAACGAATTCGCCCGGAAAGATGCCCGTATATGGATCGACCGAGAATTTCTCTAGTGTCTCGTCGACGTAGGTAATTGGCTCTGGCAGTTGCAACCTTTTAATTGGTTCCGGTCGTACGTTCCGCCAGGAGCGCGCGCCCGGCTGCGGTCCGATGATTTTTCATTTACGTTTGGTCGAAAATCACCGTAAAAAATAATAAGCGGGGATCGATGAGAGCTCGGGACCGTATCGACGAGATGATATTCTCACGGTACGACGCTTCTCTGGCTAGAATTTAATATCTCGGGGCTAGTCGGAAGGAATTTAATGCGGTACGCGTGAGCGATGTAGATCTCATCATAAAATTGTCGTGTGTTTGTCCAAAAAAATTAGATATACGTATAACAGGCTGTATTTTATTGGAAAGTTATGCTTTTAAAAATTCACAAAGATCTAGATCCGAAGTACTCGATCGACCAAGATACGCGAATAGAGCGACTTTGTTCGAGTTTCAGAAATTCGATATTCGAAACGAACTTGATACGATATCACCATGTGATCAATTTCATGAGTTACCGTAGAGAAAATTCGCGAATATTATTTGCCGGATTAACGGATTACCTGCGATCTCTGGCGGAGCGGACGAAGCAATTATTTCGAATTTATCGATTGTATTCTGGCTGATGGTGGTCATGTAACACCGACGTTCGTTATAATCATACTGGCACGGCGGCGCGTTCCTCTCTTTTTTTAAAATCTCGTTAAGAAAGCAATATTTTTTCTCTAGAGCCAAAACTGTCTGCCAGTGGATTAACGAATTTTGCTGTCGCCACCTTCTGCGCCGATGAAAAACGATTTTCTTGATCCTTGAAGATACAATTCGGGTGCGGCTCGAATCCTTATCCCGTCGGATTGAAAGAAAATACCGCGATGTTATTTCAATCGCGCTTGGTTCATCCCGTAACGAAACCCTGATTACTCCATCATTTCGTTCGTTTCTCGTCCAGTTATCGTATTAAAGTCGATGCCTTTAATAAGCGAAAACAGGAACGCGTTCGCCGTGTATATCTGTACGATCAAACAATCGTATTCTACTTGGAAAGTTTTGTTTCGAACTATACATAGCGCTTCGTATTTATATCTTTTAATATCCGGCGTAACTACTTTCCGTTCATCCAACGAATCTCGGTAGAGGAGACCAAAAATATCTAATAAACACGGCTCTTCCGTACGCGCATCGACCATATTGCTTCGAAATGCATTTGACCGTCCGATGGCGCGTTGCCAATACAAATCTGGCGACTTTCGGCGTCATTCGAACGCTCTACGTTTCGACAGAATGGTGTTCCCTTACGCTTGTATTATTAAAATAGCAATTAGCTTGCTAAACGGGTTTCTATAATCTCGTGGAGATTAAGAGCTCCTTCGCGTACGTGTACGTTACCGAACAATAAGCATGGAGTACACGCCGCGACGGATATGCCTCTCGATACGAGTACCGTGGCTTGTTTCCAAGTTAAACTTGGAGACGTTCTTGCCGGCAGGGGTGCACAATCATACGCCCAACGCGGAAATACAGATACCGGTATAAATAAAACGTATATTCAGGCGTATATTCGCGTAAGGTGTTTCTGCGTTTCACATTAGACATGATTTGCAGCCATGGTTCGACTGTGCTTTTAAACTGATTTACTTATCACGCGTTTCGACATTTTAGAGATCAGCGTAACGTTCCATGCAATGAAAATCGATACGTTCGAAGAATATGCTCGTCCATTTTCCGTCGAAAAATATCGTACGGGTGCCCAAACATTGATCTTTTAGCTACGCATAAGGGGATTAAAATCGTAAATCCGCAAACTATCTCTCGTCGAAGTAATTACTTTCGCATCGCTGGACATCCGTAAGAATAAACGTCAACGAATATTTATACTTGCGACAAAGATTTTTCCCCGACCGTAGTTTCGTACAATCGAATAAGTTTTTATTATTCGCTTCGAACGGAAGCATTTACATCGCGTAAAAATTGTGGTCCAGAAACCTGTATTCGTTAAATTCTGTTGTTGTTTGGGCAAGTAGGATACGCCCGGAAAGTTTCGGGGCAACAATCTAAAACTGTAAACCACTCTGCTTAAAGCTTGTGTGTGTTTCG